ATCCCTCACAGAGCCTGTTTTAATTATTGTACGTAAAGAATTCCCTGCTATTTACAGTAGCAACCAAACTTTACTTTGTTACAAGTCATCAACCACAAAGCAGTTGCATGCGTAACAAATTAATAAACTACACATGGTTCTATAATTGAAGTTTTGATAAAAGTGCTTTTCCTGTCTTAGGGTACAATAGCATGATAAGTAGATCATGAGAGAAAATATATATATGCATATAATAATAGATATAATCTACTTGTGCATATATGTATAACGTGTACACTTACAATGTATATCTGATATATCATGTCAAATATTGATAATTATAGCAGTGTCAATGTACATGTACACTGTGCTGTTAACAACAGCTACCAATCAACCTGTCCATGACAGGACACCAGATGAAGATACACCTTATACATAGATATTTATTGGCAGTACACCTAAGGACTGTAAATTAACTCATTCACCCCTGAAGACACATTTAAAATCTTCCAATTCAAAGTTTGGCATAGTTCATTATGAAATTTCAGGGGTGAATGAGTTAATTATGTTGACCAGGTGATGATAACATACCTGGTACCTACTGGTACATGTCAAGAGTGTAAACACAGATAATAATAATATACAATAATATACAACATTACAAAATGACTCTAAAGCGCTTTACAACATATGGATAATAGTATTAGTTTTAATTGTGAAACAAAAACAAAGGCTTACAATCACTTTTATACATTTTGCAAGCAGATAATCATCCCAATGTGCACTGACTGCACATAAATGAATAAATAAAGGGTGGTATTTACATGACATCTTTGCAATGATCCTAAAATGCTGACGAGAACAGGTGAGTTTTGATGTCCTTCCTGAATTTGGCCAGGGTATTTGACTTTCTCATAGCAGATGGTAAGCTATTCCACAACATGGCTGAAACCCTCCCAAAGCAGATCCCACAGATAGGTGTTGTCTAGATCTGCACTTGTAAACACACACATATATTGCATATGGTTGTCTGCAATTCATTACGCTCCACTAGCTTGCTGCGCTAATACCGGTAATTAAAAGAGGTTTTTTTTTACTTGTATTCCCCATTTATATAGTTGTATAGAACCAAAATGTTGCCTAATATGATGTACATAACATTTTGTTTTGATGGAATTCTATCATTAAATTCCCTATACAATTTTTATACAAGTGGAGATCTTTACAACCTGTTTTATGCATTACTCTCAACTAAATTCCATGATATTTTCTAGATATAATCAGGAATTTCACAGTCTCCTTCCTGAAAACAATTATACTGCAATAAATCTAGTCATTTTACAGCCATTTATGGGTACTTTCCCTTCAGGATTCTAATCTTGAAATTTTCCCTATTTTTGCAAAATTTATCCATTCTTTGGTCCAAATTTTCCCTTTTAAAACTTTTCAAAATATGATAATATTGACATATCTTACTGAATATAGCAACAACTACAAAATGATAATGTTACTAATTGGAGCAATTATTAAAGCCCCCCTCTCCATTTTTTTAAACCTTGAGAAAACACTATCATCAAAAAGAAGATATGATTTTTCGTTGAAAGTGTTTCTACTATAAATATGGTACAATTGGTTGAGCACAGTATTACACCTGAAGATCTCAGGAACCAAATAGTGGCCCATTCCAAGTATATTTTTTACCTAAATTTTACAACAGCCTGTTCCTCTATGAATTGGGAAAATATAGCATGGTTTTGTTTTTAAATTGGATTTAGATTTATTTATGACTTAGAAACTTTTTATTGACATGACAACAGCTTTAAGTTTTATCGCTCACTTCTGAACAGAAAACTGTAACGTGTGGAACTTTTATAAAAATGATAATTATAACGATGAAACAACCAAACAAAATTATACAACACTGAAATGTAAGCTTAAGGGGGGTCAGACGAGACCATGATTTGACCCTGTGACCCTTGATCACAATGTGGTCACTCTAACCAACTGATCAGTAGTTTTTGGCCAAGTCCTACTACAGTTATAACAAAAAGAAATTAAGTGGACGTCTTATATTAAGCGACAAGTTGATCATCATTTACTATTTCTTTGTGATCACTGTATTCTGACTGATCATCTAGCCTCAAACTTTCAAATTCCTCATGCCATTAGGTTTGTAATCTTTTAATATTTTTTACGTTATGCATTGGCAAGTTTCTTAGTGCCGATTCCTCCTAGGATATATGCTGAGTTCCGAATGGTATATCCGGGTTTTCAAAATAGAAAAAAATGGTAACAGAATGGCGGGAGACTCAACCGAGTCGAAGCGAGACATATACCCATACCTTGGGGGGTTTATTACTTGGTACATGTACACTCAATTCATTTTTTAAGTCAAAAGAAGTCCCTCCCCCGACTAAATGCAACCTAGACATTGAGAAGGTTGTTTGCAACATATATATGAGGGTCGACTACGCCAACAAAGGTGGGTTAAAATAACATCGGGTCGAGACACATGTTTATAAAGCTGTTGTGTCATCAATTGAAGATTTATGGTTATCATATGGATATCTTCATAGAATATACATGTTTTTAACAAAGTTTTCTTTCTGGGGACCGGCAAATGTAAAACAATGCAGGGGTCGGATGAATGTCGGCGATCATGAGTGGGCCACAGGGGTTTGTTACAAATGTCCGTATATTATAGGCCTACTACAAATCTTTTCTGTTTATATCAGCTTTTATTGTTCTTTATTGTCAAATTAAACAACACATAATTCGCGATGTAGGTATTATGGAAATAAATTAATGTCAATTATCTTGTCCAATTCTTAGATTACCTATTCGTGGATTTCCACTTTCGTTTTCACAAATTTCGGTATCTGTCATCGGGTTTACTTTCACTTTTTTTTTATGTGCATTTGCATTGGGAAACTATCAACCCATAATAGACTCCTATGTGTCCGAAGGTATAGTAATAAAATACATAACAATAATATTGCCTTTTAATTGTTCTACAGGAAACACAAGACGGTACACCAGTTACAAAACAAAGCATCCCAAGTCAACCTAAGATATCCTTTGCTGCGCCTGCCACTGCTGTATAAGGTTAATCAAGAGAGAAAATAGGATGTTATTTATTTGAAAGAAAGTTTTACTTAAATAATTCAAACAAACACATAGTTGCTTGTTTTTTTTTATTGTGGGTAAAATCAATATCATTGATCAGATGTTTTATACATCAATCAACCAGTCAAGCATGATTAAATATGATAAAAAGGTGTACAAAGACACAAATTGCAAGAAGCCAAAGCGTATCCAAAAAGAGGCTCCAACCAATTACATAATCGATAATTAGTAAGTTGCCTTCAACTGATTATCGATCATGGATTTCCAACCGATTCTGAACACTAGTGAGTGCAAGTGAGAACGGCATACCATGCGATAGCCTCTGTTCACATATGTACCAGACATGTAAATATACCGTGCGCTAGTGGGCTGTGGAATGTTGTCCAAAGTGTACATGACTGAAAGTACATTGTAATTTGGTTCCATACAAGAACAATAAATTGAAAATTTTGATATCATAACTTTGATTTATTTTCATCATTTTTGTTGTATGTAAAAAGAGATAACTGTCATCATGTAATCAGGATCAAAGTGATTGTAAAATGTAAAATAAATTAATTATAAAGTCATTGTATATATTTAGCTCAATTTTCCACTCTTTATGCATGAATCTTTGGGTCGTGTTTGGTTTCAGCATGTATATAATCACTTTGATTTGTACAATTTCAATAAAAAACACTTTGTGTATTGTATTTTATATATTTTGTGATAAATATAATAATTGTAGAGTTATGATTAGCAATGCTTCTTTTCATTTTTTTTTATTGTTGTTATTAATCCTACAATGCCACACATACACCAAAAAAAAAATGAAAATTGACTAAATCTCACTTTTTTGTATATCCCCCCCCCCCCAAAAAAAAGTCCCCAAACGTTTTCATAAAGCTAGCTGTAACAGTAGAGGAAAAATGCACGGCCATACCAGGGTTCGAAACTGGGACCCACCGAACTCTAGACGGATGCTCTACCAATTGAGCTATCAGCTGGTCGCCGATGATCGACCCAGTCCCGTTCTGCTACATTTCTCCCTCCTTTAACAAAGTCTTAGACCCTGAGGACACATGAGACTCTATACCACCTTCTGTGGGTATATTTTGTTGGACGCCAAATGTTAAAGGAGAGGAAAAAAGCAAGGCCAGACCGGGGTTTGATCCTGGGGCCCACCAAACTCTAGACGGATGCTCTACCAATTGAGCTATCTGGTTGCCGACGATCGATCCAGTCCAGTTCCTTTACAAAGGAGTGCACTAGTCTGGCCCCACACCAGACATCTATATGTCAAAATGTCTAAGTCTGGTGTTAGGGCCAGAGGAAACTCGGGCAACTGAAATATATTCAGAAAGATTTATTTGTGACAAAAGTCCATCAAAATAGCTCATGATTTTTCATTTCACATTGGTTTTGTAAAGTGTGACGTTTTTGACCCTTCAAACAGGGACATTAACCTCAAATGAGTCCGTGTATTTGTGTATGGTGTACTAAATATTAAGATACAAGATTTAATATATATATATATATATGATACATTATGGACTCAGGCTACAAGCCTCTATATCCATATCAGTACATACAACAAAATGTACATTAAATATACTTTAATTGTCAATTGAACAGTTTTTAAAACTAAAAATTACAAGTTTACAGTACTCTAAATCAATTTCAAACAGTCAGCCATGAAGATTTTCTAAACCTTAGGCTGTTTATTAAGCTTGGGTTCTTATCAGTGACAGATAACTTTCCAAGATATCAAAGCTAGAAATAATCGGCATAGTCACGCAGCAACCAAATACCCGCGATCTGTCAGTCTAATTTCACAATACACACATACTGAGATGGTCTGATAGGTGACATATCTTACGTTGCTTTCATACGAACACCATATTAAGAGTACTTACATTAAAACGATCCTGGAGATTCTCTTCTCCTTTCTTGATTCGATGAACTATCTATCTTCATCGTTCTAAATAACACGCTGAAATCTCCTTTTGTTTCATTTCCATCAGGATGTTTTGATCTCATTTCCAAGATGGACACCACCCAGGCGGAAATGACGTAAAGATTAAGTCGGAAATCGAAAATGTTATCGTAATACAATAGTCTATGTATTCCTTTCCCAATTATAAACGTTCGACACCATTACTATTTGTCGTCATGAATATAATAGTTGTTCAAAAATACTAACAATAGTTGGCTTAATTTAAAAAAATTCTGAAAATAATTTGTCACGTGACTAACAAAATGGTGGCTTCCATCGAAGGTGACGTGTTTCATTTATGGTGTAAACAACAGCTGAATCCGTGATGTTTTTGACACGTTAAACAGTGCAAATATAAGGCCAGTATTCTAAAGCAAGTAAGAATGTTATTTAAAAGTAATTCTAATGTTGAAATGGTTCAGAATGCACTGCTACATACCAAATAATCTTTGAATCATGCGCTTTTGCCATCCCATGGTGTTGCTGGGGTACTGTATACTCAAACAATGTTAGAGGTTTTACACGGCGAGAAACTTTTGACGTCGCAGTCGGCAAAATCATATCCGATAGAAAAAAGGCCGACCAGCGGCCTCTTATGTTATAGGAGAAGGGTTCCATACCAATTTTTCGGCACTTAGATGTTTCGGCTGTACTTTGATAGGATTTCTTACACTTTTTTAGTCGTGTCTGTTATTGTACTTCAAAAAAAATGTTCGACAGTTTGGTAGATATATTGTTCATAGGAAAATAAAGATGTTCGACAGTTGGGTTGTGAAGCGGACGTAAAACCACTCAAACTAACAAACAATGTACAAGGGACTCAAGTGAATGTATACCAATGTTTATTTACTTATAGCTCACCACAAAAAAAAAATCATACATTTTATGATTTACTGTATTCGGCTCAGTAGTGTTTAAATGTGATTTTTTTTTAAATTTCGAAATGCTTTTTTTTGTGTTCAGGTCACTATTTTCAATTATCTGACCAGAACAAATAGTTTTAGATTTGAATTTAAGACTTTTTGAAAATATCTTTGATTGATTTCTGTGTTAAATTCAAACTATTTTAAGCAAAATGTTGCTGCAACTGTTTGCAGGAATAAGTTACAGCAACTTTTTGCAAGAAAACTTATTTGCATACAAATTAAATAGTTGCTTCAACTTTGTCGCAAATATTTACATGGCGAACCTTTCCTGTTTCATAAGGATTTGTTTCTCATCATTTCAGAATGACATAAAACATCGGGGAATGCATACAACAAATTCCAAGCATACACAACATGCCAAGAAATGTACTATCAAAGAGGAGGAAGCAAATTCTTCTTCTCATTGCTGCTGCTGGATTTATTTTCATCACCTTTCAGATCTTTTCACTGTCAGCACTGAACATCAGCAACAGACTCTCAGCTCTCAGGGCTATGGATGAGGACGGAGAAGTTGGGATCAACATTGTTCGAGGAAATCGGCACGTCAGGAATCAAGCAATAGAAGAGTTTGACATGCATGTAGAAGTAGACGTTGATCAAAGAAAAGCTATCAGGGCAGATAACTCCGACAACCATGTCCTGAAAGTTAAACCTGTGGAAAGTAATGATTTGCCACCAGAGGGCAGTAAAGTGGGAGAGGAATCATCGGTGGATGTAGCTAGTCTTCCGAGAGGTGTACATAGAACAGATGGGAAATACTATAAACAAATTGAAGGAAACATGTTCCTTTGTCTTAATAAAAAAGTAAGTACAATTATACATGTATAGTAATTGTTAGTGTACTAGCTTTAGGATCATACTCAAAAGCATCTTCAAGAGACAACAAGCGACAACAATGATGTTTAGAAGTAGAATGTTGAGACATTTTTACGTGTGTGCATGTTGCATTGGATAACAGCTGTGCAATACAGGTCCTTTGGGCATCTTGTTTTGAAACTGCTCTTTATGTGTAATATACATGACTTGTGTTATGTTGTGTTGATCATTATGACAGTGAAAATTATACATTAAAGTAATGTTTTTTTATTTCTAAAATTCGAGACAAAATGAGTTTATAAATAAATCAGCTTTTCATTGATTCAATTACATTGCTGCATTAAAGACTAAAGAAAAACATATTTATATTTCATAGAATTTCATGAATTCTATATTATTCTAGATTAAGAATTACTCATTATAACAAACAAAAATTGCTATAACCATTGTATTTCAAGAATCCCTGAACTGAAATTGCATACCCACACATCCATAATGTAATAACATAAACAGGTAAGCAGGGACTGTATGTGGGATATGGATATTCTACACAAGGCTGTGGAATCTAGGTCAGATGTTTTTACGAGAGTAGAATATCCTTATCTGATGTATACTTTCCCAATTCTTAACCAAAATTTTGGTAAAACAGGAAATAGACAATGCAAATTCAACACTTAATATAACAATTAACTTATACACACAAACTAAGGTCATATTTGGAAAGAGCAGAAAAAGTACAGTTTACTATAGGTTTGCCATATGTGTATACCTCAATTTGAAAGATGCATGCAAAACCTTCAGACAAACTTGTACAACAATTTTATGTTCTTGAGGTGGTGTCACTTACCAACAACAAGACAGCAAAGGTGACTGAGTGCACCAGGTGACTGAGTGCACCCATGTGAGACACACTTATACCACAAGACTGTTCCACATGGGACATGTGCATCTTACTCACGCAGAGGTGGGCTAATATATCATTATTGAAAATATCTTTCCTAAGTAGTCTGCAAAACAATTCACCCCATGAATTACCAAGTCTACATCTCTTTTTTTTTTTAAATCCATGAAATATTGAACCAGGTAAATAGGTGTTATACTAAGTGTTAATCATCACAAGCACATATATCTGTAACTGGATATTTTCTTTTACAGAAAAACATTCCATTTTCTCAAGTAAATGATGACTTTTGTGATTGTGATGATGGATCTGATGAACCAGGAACGTCTGCATGTTTGAATGGAAGGTAATATAACAGAGCTGAGCACCACATGGCTTTAATACTAAGGAACGATATTTATATATTTTATTTTAATGTTGTATTTCTAATGCAAGAATCAACCTTGAAAGTGATTCAGAGATTAACACAGCTTAATTGTTTGGTTACAAAGCAATTATTTTCATTCAAAATGGTTCAATAATTAAAAAAAAGAGTCTTCAAAAGTGTTCAAGTATTTTTGATGTTTGTTAAGATTGATTGATTGCTTATTTTCATTGATAATAACTGTGAAAGTGGAAATGTTCACGTGTGGAATCTTCAGTAAGATTTAGTAAGATGGCTCAGTCATAGCTTGACAAAAGGACCAGTCAGAAACATTGCCACAAGTTTAATACGTACATTGGTGGTGTAAAGTAAAACTGTGATATTTCACGTGTAGAAATGTTTGTGTTATGATCACTTTTCAAGTAGATCGCTGTGTGGAATTTTTGCATTGGAAATCGTTGAGAAATCTATATTGCAGAGTTATCTGCTCTTGTAAGCAGGTATTGATTGATTACCTCGTTTTCTCAAAAAAATATGACGTTACTCGCACAAACAAATGATGTAACAATCATTACCTGCTCACAAGAGCAGATAACTCTGCAATATGAAAAGACGGAATATTCTATATATGTATAATCAATATAACCTATAAATATATATTAGCATGTGGATATTTTCATGCTAATTTTCTCAGCATGTAAAATGTGAAATTTCCTCTTTTACAGTTGTAAAAGTTTTGCCCTCGTATAGTGATTTTTCTTTCGTCAACTCTGTGGTTCTGTCTTGACTTAACTTCAGCTGGCTAGGTCAATGAATGACAACACGTTTTATAAAGTTCTACAATTTATTATGTACCAAACGAAACAGTCAAGTAAATTAAACATGATGAATAGATATACACAATGCTACAGCACGTTAACCACTCGACCGGTCCATATTAAAACAGTATACCGTGTAACATATGTCCTCTCAAAAATGTCCACCCTGTATCCCACCCCGGGGAATAAGTATAAACCCACCCCGATAATATATTACAATATGCCTACAACGGGAAAATAACCATCCCAAATTATACTCCTACATACCTGCCCGTAAGAAGGGTAAAGATGAGCCGGCCAGCTACATGTAAGCCTCTGCCAGACTGATTTACAATACCAAAAACACCCAGCTATATAGCCAAATTTAATTGTATGCCTTCAAATGTACGTGCCATATAGTATTTGAAATACACGTGCAATGTAGTATTTGAACTCGATACTGACCCATACCTGAGCGTAGAGTGCTGTACAGGTAAGGTAACATATCCTAAAAATATCAACCAATCAGAAACGTCTAAATAATATACCAGAAGGGACTCCCCAACGGGAATCCCCCAGGTACACGCACTCCGTTACACGAAATGTAAATAAGGAAATATATACAACAAGTAAGTGTTCAAAACCCAATCCTTTTACACAGTATATCTTGATTGACATGTTTGGAGCTGGGGACAAGTCACTGTAAACCTTTTATCTTTTTTCCTTGTTTAATACTAGCTTTGACCTGATCACCATGATATGAGTGTTTGTGATTTGTATTGATATAATTTGGCTGTGTTACAGATTTTTCTGCACCCATCAGATCCCAGACCAACGGCCACAAAGTATTCCGAGTAGTCGGGTCAATGACGGCCTCTGTGACTGCTGTGATGGCAGCGATGAGTGGGGCGAAATACCACCACCACCTGCTGTACAGCGTGCAGGTACGACGTCGGGGCAAACCATAGCTAGCAAACAAGTCATAATATCATACCTCATCTGTGTTACTGTGTGTCAGATTCATTCAAACAATTCACATATCTTAGGGACAAAACATTGTATATCCTGGCAGTGCATTATCCATGTTAAAAATCATCTTATCTCCCAGCAGTGCAATTTCCCCTGTTCAGATCGAGTCTTACATTTGGTATATGTATAATGAATATCACATGATGATTTGATGGATGACATATTTATCTTTTTACATTATTTCTTTTTTGTATAATAAGCAATTTATTGCCCTTGTAGTTGGGAGATATGGAGTTTGTTTCCCTTGTAGTTGGAAGATATGGAGTTTGTTTCCCTTGTAGTTGGGAGATATGGAGTTTTTTCCCTTGTAGTTGGGAGATATGGCGTTTGTTTCCCTTGTAGTTGGGAGTTATGTAGTTTGTTTCCCTTGTAGTTGGGAGATGTGGAGTTTGTTTCCCTTGTAGTTGGGAAATATGGAGTTTGTTTCCCTTGTAGTTGGAAGATATGGAGTTTGCTTCCCTTGTAGTTGGGAGATATGAAGTTTGTTTCCCTTGTAGTTGGGAGATGTGGAGTTTGTTTCCCTTGTAGTTGGGAAATATGGAGTTTGTTTCCCTTGTAGTTGGAAGATATGGAGTTTGTTCTCCTTGTAGTTGGGAGATATGAAGTTTGTTTCCCTTTTAGTTGGGAGATCTGGAGTTTTTTCCCTTGTAGTTGGGAGATATGGAGTTTGATTCCCTTGTAGTTGGGAGATATGAAGTTTTTTCCCTTGTAGTTGGGAGATATTGAGTTTTTTCCCTTGTAGTTGGGAGATATGGAGTTTGTGTCCCTTGTAGTTGGAAGATATGGAGTTTGTTTTCCTTGTAGTTGGGAGATATGGAGTTTGTGTCCCTTGTAGTTGGAAGATATGGAGTTTGTTCTCCTTGTAGTTGGGAGATATGAAGTTTGTTTCCCTTTTAGTTGGGAGATATGGAGTTTTTTCCCTTGTAGTTGGGGGATATGGAGTTTGTTTCCCTTGTAGTTGGGAAATATGGAGTTTGTTTCCCTTGTAGTTGGGAAATATGGAGTTTGTTTCCCTTGTAGTTGGAAGATATGGAGTTTGTTTTCCTTGTAGTTGGGAGATATGGAGTTTGTGTCCCTTGTAGTTGGAAGATATGGAGTTTGTTTTCCTTGTAGTTGGGAGATATGGAGTTTGTGTCCCTTGTAGTTGGAAGATATGGAGTTTGTTTTCCTTGTAGTTGGGAGATATGGAGTTTGTGTCCCTTGTAGTTGGAAGATATGGAGTTTGCTTCCCTTGTAGTTGGGAGATATGAAGTTTGTTTCCCTTGGAGTTGGGAGATATGGAGTTTTTTCCCTTGTAGTTGGGAGATATGAAGTTTTTTCCCTTGTAGTTGGGAGATATGGCGTTTGTTTCCCTTGTAGTTGGGAGATATGAAGTTTGTTTCCCACAGTGAATCATATTTCTCGAGGAAATATTCATATCACCTTCTGACCATGGCGATGAAAAATGGTTATCATGCACTTGTCCATATTGTGGGTTATTTTGCATATGGGATACTACTACATGGAGTGCACCATATTTGTTTTATTCCGGTTCAATAATTTCAAAAATTATGCTTCCTTTACACAAAGGTACTGTGGAATTGTGCTATAAACCAACAAGTTTGTTTTTGTACTAGAATATTTACAGTGTGTAGTATTTGATGAGATGTTATGATAGGACATTTCCATCTGGGCATAGGTGTCAACCTCTGCAACCTCCAATGTCAGGGAGATCTCCCTCATTCCACATTTCTAATGAGGGCGAAAGTGCATGAAACATGACTGAAACTGTTTTGCTCAATCTATTTTTCCCTTTTTATGTGTCAAAAAACCTCAAAAAAGCATTCTTTTGATTCAGACACACCTGTTCTGATCATCACAGAAGATCACACACACCCTGTAGTAACTAGCTATAGGAGATCATTTGACCACAGGGTGTAGATTTTGAGTGTGTGTGAGTTTGGACTTGAATAAGGGAGTTTCAAGGGAGATTATATTAGTAAATTTTTGTCAAAATGAGGGAGTCTCCCTCCTTATGAGGGAGGTTCGATTACTATGCTCAGGCTGATTATAGAGGTTCTCAAATTGATATTGGAAGGACTTAGAAATGGTTATAGGATAATGTCTTAAGTAATGTTAAACTGAAGAAAGTGATAGGACTTTGGGGATATCTTTTGTGTTTGTGATATCTGTGGTCTTCAGGGGATTCTTATACTCATGTTTATTGTCTTCAAGTTCAGTTTTATTGAAAATATAAGTGATAGATGAAAATTGTGTGAAATGTATAATTAAATTTGAGCAACAGAAAAACCAGAACACAGGGAAATTATGAAAGATGAAATATTACATACCAAACTCACAAAAAGTATAACAGAATATAATAATGCATGTGTCAATCTGTATCCAGGGCCTAATTTTCTTTGAAGGACTTCTTATTCAAATTGCATGCATTCCTGTCATCACTGTAAGCAGGGTCATGTCATGTGATTTTTTCACGTTTCGTGTATCCTTGACGATGGCAGGATGCACTGGTTTCACCACTACGACATATATTTAAGGTTTGACAATAAAATACAATTCAATACACCCTGGGCTTGTGTCTCGGGCCAAAAACATACCATTCATATATAACACAGTTTATTTAATATCTCTACTTAAATCTGTTCAGCCCGGAACACTGCTACAGTGTTGACAGTGCCTTGCCAGAATCTGTGTAACAAGGTCATACAGAGGAAGGAGGAAGATGAAAAGATCCGGGAGATCGGAAAACGCCATCGGCTGGAGTATATCAAGGCTGCTGCACACCTTCATGGCGAAGAAAAGGAGGTATGATATAAAATTGTCACCAGTCCTGTTCAGTCATGGTATAAATACCTGGTTCATATACAGTTAAAACCAGCCCTGGTCAGTTGTGGTATAAATATATAGTTATAACCAGCCCTGGTCAGTTGTGGTATAAATACCTGGTACATATACAGTTATAACCAGCCCTGGTCAGTTGTGGTATAAATACCTGGTACATATACAGTTAAAACTAGCCCTGGTCAGTCATGGTATAAATATATAGTTATAACCAGCCCTGGTCAGTCATGGTATAAATATATAGTTATAACTAGTCCTGGTCAGTCATGGTATAAATATATAGTTATAACCAGTCCTGTTCAGTCATGGTATAAATATATAGTTATAACCATCCCTGGTCAGTTGTGGTATACATACCTGGTACATATACAGTTAAAACTAGCCCTGGTCAGTCATGGTATAAATATATAGTTATAACTAGTCCTGGTCAGTCATGGTATAAATATATAGTTATAACCAGCCCTGGTCAGTTGTGGTATAAATATATAGTTATAACCAGCCCTGGTCAGTCATGGTATAAATAGTTATAACCAGCCTTGGTCAGTCATGGTATAAATATATAGTAATAACCATCCCTGGTCAGTCATGGTATAAATATTTATAAGTAAGAAAAGGTGACCTTGACCCAAAGTGATATCGCCAAGGACAAAGTTGTGGAGCATAGTCATCTAAAATGTTTGTTGGATCAAATCTGTCTTGTCTTGAATTTCTTTCATTAATTTCAGAAATTTGGTCCTGATGGTGTTTTCTTCAAATTGAGTCGGAGTTGCTTCCCTTTAAAATCATCAGGGTATGAATATACAATTTGTCCTTTCAAGAGTGTAAAACAGCAACAGTTCCCTCGGGCGTCAAAGTTACTTGGTGAGAACCCAGAGTGGGAATACATGTCAGAGGGACTATACATACTTAATATGTTAAATGGTGCATCACATCTCTGTCCGGGAGAGATGCCTCGCAAATCTGTGGTGAGTAGGAGTTCATATTCTTACTCTCTGTGAAAGGTTGAGGTTTGTTGATTCTCTCTCCCTTTTTTAATTATTATAGGCGTTTGTTGTGAAACGAATTGAAAATAACTTTTTAGGTTGGTTAGATAACCAAGATGGCCAGCATAGCAGCCATCTTGAAATCTGTTCTGAATTGAACCTCCAGTACTGTTGAAGATATTTCAATAAAACTACAAAGAAATGTTGAACACATGGCAGCCATCTTTATTATAAGCTTTGAACTTAAAAGTCTAGTTCTGCTGTAAACTAAAATACCTGGGTGCTACTAAAGATATTTTATTGATGCCCATGCCCATTGTTACAACCAATTAAAGTGAAAATAACATTGCCTGAAAATAAGATAACTGCTATATGATATCAAAGAACTTCAAAGATTGAAAACTTGAGTAAAATGCCAAATTTTATTAAATTTGATTTTAATGTTTTTCACTTTTCTTTTTTATTGCAGATATCATTCCTTTGTGGTATGAATGATCGAGTCCTGTCTATCCTAGAACAGGAAACTTGTGTTTATAGCATCAAATTTTCTACTCCAGCTGCGTGTTAACCCCTAACTACGTACCTAGTCTGTAGCTTTCAGTACAAGGATTTCTAGCTATGTACCTAGTCTGTAGCTTTCAGTACAAGGATTTCTAGCTGTGTACCTAGTCTGTAGCTTACAGTACAAGGATTTCTAGCTATGTACCTAGTCTGTAGGTTTCAGTACAAGGATTTCTAGCTACGTACCTAGTCTGTAGCTTACAGTACGAGGATTTCTAGCTATGTACCTAGTCTGTAGCCTACACTTCTAGGTGTGTGCTGGAGGATATATATAACTTTATATTTTGTGTTCTGTCTATTATGTGACTGTACTTCCAATGGCATCTCAATTGAATACCCAACCCAGACTCCTTCCTCGGTCATTGCATTACCCATTGTTATTTATTGAACGTGAAGACAAGCCTCAATGCATAGCGTGTCAAGAACCAATTACAGTAAAACACTTAGTAGATTTTATTGCCCTTCAGCCAACTCGAGAACATATCTATAATAATGATTCATGTCTGAAATCTCTTTTCAATAAAATAGCTTTACTGTCTACAGTTTTAAACTATCTGAAAGCTGTTGGTCTTTTTAAAAACATATGAGTCAGCATAGCCACTGTAAATGTTCAAGTTGATGTTTGTCTTTTACTTTTGTTTGATGTTATTTTATTTTACATTTTTGTTGTTGACCTTCTGTTTGCCCTAATGATCTCTCTTGCGTTGATGGGCCTTAAGCATGTAATAACAGTAATAGTAATACCACCGGAGTGAACAATTAGAGGATTGTATCATGCTCAAGGATACAACACCATGCTCGACAGCTAGCCTAGAATCAACTTCAGAGCCATCTGCTGGTCGGCTGAGGCTAACATGATACCCACTGTGTAATGGTGCTTCTTAAATTGTTTGTGTTTTACATCCAATTAACATCTATGGTCATTAAAGGACGTGCCAGGTTTTTGGGGCAGTACCTGGCGACTGCCCCACGTAGGTATTGAACACACGACCCAATGGTGGAGGGCTAGTGGTAGCAGAATGTCGGATGCCCCTTGAAACATGTCCTTATCTATTTCACTCATTTACTGCCAGTGTGTTGAACAAGGAACAAAGGACGTTTTGGTGAAGTAAGCTGACAAACTTTGTAACATTCCTGAGCTGACAACCAGACAAACTTTGTAACTTTCCTGAGCTGACAACCAGACAAACTTTGTAACTTTCCTGAGCTGACAACCAGACAAACTTTGTAACTTTCCTGAGCTGACAACCAGACAAACTTTGTAACTTTCCTGAGCTGACAACCAGACAAACTTTGTAACATTCCTGAGCTGACAACCAGACAAACTTTGTAACATTCCTGAGCTGACAACCAGACAAACTTTAAACTTATGATATCAAAAAATGCATAATATATTTAGTTTCTGATGGTTGTACAAAATGTACATTATTTTGAAATGTGACATGTTTGTGTTTAAAGGTTTAAGAAGGTTGTATAGGATCTAAGAGAATGCCAAAGCCTTTTAAACATGCTGTCATGTTTGGCAGCTTTCATATAAGTAGCCATGATAATGTTTTTTATATGTTTGTTCAGTACCACTTCAACCCAACATTTACAAGTAAATAGGGTTTGGGAGCAATTTTGATTGGTGGGTCTGGATCCCTGCCCTTCAGACTTGAGAGATCCCAAAATAATTTTGTATTTCTGCTGAAATGGACAAGTCAAATGTATGTATGAAGCTTCAGCCTGCAATGTAAGTGGTTGACACACACAAAAAAAGAAAATCTTTGATGATTCATGTAACATTCAAATTTTTGAAATATTCAACATCTAATACCCTGGTAATCATTTGTCCTTTTTTATGATAATGAAGCTCAAATATTTGCCAAAACTCATTAGTCAGCATTATTTACTATCATTGTAACACCATACATGAACATATCAAGTGGACTTTTGTCGACTGGGTGCCATCATTTTGGTTCTGTGAACCTAATTAGCCTAGTCTTAATCAGGAACAGGTTGAATGGATGTACATGTTTTTGTGATATAGATACACTGTAATTTTACACTAGATATATATCTTTGAAATGCAAGGGTTCTGCTTTCAATAAGTATACCTTGTTCTCTTCACCCCTGAGACATGTCATGATGAAATGAAAGCCTCTCTGTGGGCTACCTTGCAGATGATGTAAGATAATTAGTGTAGAAACTACTGAAATCTGTCATACTTGGGATCTTTAATAGTTGTAAAGGTATTGCATGACAGCATAACAGTAAAATTGACCAGCTCTGATTATGGGCTTAGCTCTTCTGAAATCTTCAAAAGATAGGTATCATTTAGAGATTGGTCAGGTTTATGAATAGTTATTTTGTCTGAAAACAATAAAATTGCTGTCCGTGAGCCTTACATTTTTTCATGACATATTCCATGGTTGCAGAAAAGCTATGTATATTGAGGGCAGAAACCCTGGATTTCAAAGATTTACCAGATAGTTCTTTCCTCCATATTCTTGTTTATGTGCATGTCTCAGTGATGTTTTCTTACAACCTGGACATGTATAAGTTCTTTCCTCCATATTCTTGTTTATGTGCATGTCTCAGTGATGTTTTCTTACAACCTGGACATGTATAAGCTTCTATGAGACCCAGAGTGAGATAGCGGCTATCTCACACATACTAGTGATGTGATCTTGACTATTTTATGATAACGTCGTTTTGCATATCAATTCCATATCTACGGATTCTTTATTTGAATATATTGAAGTAAAATCATTCTGTTAATTGCAATCATACAAGTTGAAGAACTATATTTTTTAAGTGAAACACTTGTTTTTGCTGTTGTGTTGCCAAATTACAACAATGTTGCTACATTGTTATCAGTTTTAATTATCTTAGATGTTGTCATGTCACTTTAGGGCCAGTATTGGAGAGAATTGGAAATAATGAAATGTTTTCATATTTTTTCTGTGAGAATTTAGAACAGAATGCAAGCTCAGCTGTGTAAAATGGATTCTGTTATTGGTTTTTATCAGAATCACTCGAGTAAGATCTTTTTACTTTTAAAGTATTGTTATTGTTTATAGTATTGAGGGATATTAGTATTCCTTCTGTAAGTAAACAATTAGAGTCAAAATGTAATAGTTGAAATTATAACAAGGAAACAAGAAATGATGGTGTTAAACCAGCTTAAGGTGAAATGTACCTCGCCTTCAGGTATACATTTTCAATCAAACATGTCTTTTATATAGTATAGAAACTTGAAAATCTGGGCCAATATTCATGAAACCATTCTCAGCATGGATTTTGTGCTCAAGTGTAATTTCTTGTTCTGGTTATAAATAAATGGAGAAATTATTTTGTCCACGATTTGGGAAAAATCTGAAGAGACTTAAAGCTGATTACTGCCTTCAATGTTTACAATTGACTTTTTGATCGTTTGACATGATTTAAGTGAGTTGCAAGAAAGTTGGTTTGAGCACAGAACCCATGCTTGAGCATGAGAGAGGTTTCGTGAATACGGGTCCAGTTAACTTTTTTTCTTGCCTTTTAATCAGTGTCAGTGTAGGTCCTGCATTCATTTGAGGCTCAAGTAGCTAATGATGCTGTTTGAAGAAAAAATCCACCCTCAGGTAAATAATTTGATATCAGAATCAACGAGCATCATATCCCGGAATACATATGATTTATATAAAATCTCAGTATACCTGTAGGTCCGGAGAGTATGGATTACCAATACAATACAATCTGTTGTATAGTTACTGATGTTGTTTACGGTAGCCGTCAGAGAAGACATTATACATGACTGTTGAGTGTATTACTCTGACAAAAACTTTTAATTCGCATAATAAAAATTATCCTATACCGAGAAAATTTTGCAGAGACAGAGTCAAATATTCACCCTTCACACAGGTAACATATATTCACTCTATGTTAATTTCACTCTTTATACTGTATACCTGGAAATTTAAGCTGCAGTTTAATTTTTGCCTTTTTCACTCTCCCTAATGTGGGCACATTTATCATAACCGCAAACATTAGTAAACAACCTTACAAACATAGTAATAAGATGTGAAGGGCAAAATTAACACTGGGCAAATATGGTTTTACCAACAAAGGGCGAAAATTTGACATGACGATAATTTCCAGGTATGCAGTATATATATCATATGCTGTGTGCTCATAATCACTGTCAGGGTAAATTTGCCCTCGTAAGAGAGAGCGAAAAAAACCACTTAAATTCAACTTTTCAAAAATTTCACTTAGTATATAGTGATAGATAACTTATGTAAGGTTAAAAGTTGATTTGATTTTCAGTGTTCATGTCATTTTATTTTTAATGTCATTAATGTTGTTAAAGATCTGATGTTTACTTGAAGGTTCATATTGAACTTATTTTTGTATAAATTATACATAGTTATAATGTAATGTAATTCTTGTAATTTTTGTGAATTTTTGTTTACACAATTATGGTTGAAGACAATAATTCTCAAAATAGAAATAAAATACACCAAGTGTATACTCATGCTTCTTACAGGCCATGAGACGTGTTACACTGAGGTGTATCTTTAGAAGCCCTGGATTTTCATCAATATTCCTTGAAAAATATTGAAATATACATATATGTATACTGGAGAAAGTAAGCATATATTCTTTTCAATCAAGGACTATCCCAAACTTTTGTGTCGATATGAATTCATCACAAAAAGTGATTAAATTATTGAAGACCTGTTGTGATACATTTTAATTCCCCAATACAGAAAAAGGAAAAATCTTACCCCATTTTCTGAATAAAAACCTTTATTTGATTACACCTTTTCTGAATGATTTCTACTAATGTTCATCGAGTGTTTTGACTTGGCAATCAACTGTCTAGGTTAAACAATATGGAAATATATAAAGATGTATATAACAGTAAAAACTAAGTTATTTACATACATGTATGTTGACTAAATATATCTGATTCAGTGAAGGATGTGATTTGAATTAATTTCAATTTAAAAGCCTGTTTACCTTTTACTCACGGCATTGAATTCTTCTCATTTATAAGCTCACCTGGCCTAAAGTGCCAAGCACCATGGCTTGGCTTCTGTTGCCTGTTGTCCATCAGATAATTTTTCATGTAAAAGCCTGCTTGTCTAAAACGACTAAGGAATTTTCACTCACTTTTGTACAACAATGAAATCAGTGCCTTTCTCTTCGTCATTACAAACAGTTGAAGAAAAGCAATTTGATTTAAAATAAAACAAAAGATTCAGGTATGCGTTTTAATATTTTTTTATGACTTAGAATAGTATGAAATTAAGGATTTTTACCATTTACATTCAGTAAATACTTGGTTTTATCAACCTCAGAAATAGGGTATAATGTCCTTAAAAAAAACATTTCCCAAGGTTGATAAATTCATATAATGACCTCAACTCATGGCTGTAATGGTAGTATGTTTATACTTTGATGGTACATCAATATTTATTGATAGTTTAGTACTGCTATGAAGTACCTGTATCAAATCTTAAGTAACACTAAGTATACAATGTACAATACTTAAATTTAAGATACTTTTTTGTTAAGATTTCCATAATAGTAAATTCATAATTAATTTCTTGTTCTTGTTTCAAAGAAATATGAGTACATTTGTTCAACATTACTAACTTATTATTATCTTAAAAAAAAGAAAAGTTTATAAAAAATAAAAGAAGATAGAAAGAAAAATGTATCTGTAATATTTTCTGTCCCACTGTACTGTGTTTTTAGCTCACCTGGCCCGAAGGGCCAAGCTTAGTGAGCTTATGCCATGGTGCAGCGACCGTCGTCCGTCCGTCGTCCGGACGCCCGGCGTCAATATTTTACTTTAAACAATTTCTTCTTAATAACTAAGAGGCCTAGGATAATGATATTTGGCCAGTAACATGCTGGAATCAAGGGCTACCAAATTTTTTCAAATGAATGACCTTCATCCATTTCCAAGGTCACAGGGGTC